TCTAATTTTATGATGTTTGAAAATAAAAAAAGCCAAAGGGCTATATTAGTAAAATTTGTATTGCCCTCACTAGGGCTATTTCTTTCATATATACCATTAATTTTTAAAAGCTATTACTTTAAGTCAGTGTGGTCACAGAAGCCTCTAAAATTTAGCCTCAGAACTTGTCTTCAAGGGTTTTGAATATATCTCTATTACATTTTAGGCTATTATATTGAATGCTGAATGAACTTGTAATTACCCTCACTTAAAGTGCAACAAAAATAGGAGACTGTTTATTAGCAGCTTTATTTCAAGTTTCTATTCCAAATATTCTTTTAATTCAAGAGCTCTGGAAACACTGGTTTTGCATTATTCTACCCTGGCTTCATGGCTAATGATGAATATAGTTGATGAGAAATACTTCACTTTAAGTGGCAGTTCTGAAGTACTTGCATGGAAGGTGGTGCACAATTAAAATTATTCTAACAGTCTGTTATGCACTGTACACAAGTAATAAAATTAATGGATGCACTTCAAGTAATGATCCATTTCCTCTGGGTGCAATATATTTATTCATAGACTATTTCAGGGGTTGTTTAGAATATGAGATGTGAATGGATTATGATCCATTATCCCTGAGATTCTAATGTGCTACAACAAAATGGTTTCCATAAGTATTGTTCATAATGCCTGGTGTGTTAGTATTTGTATTCTTAAATAGCTAACACAGAATTAGAAAACAGATGCTCAGATGATTGATACCTAAAACTTTTCAGATATTTACACTTACAAACTCTTAAAAAACTTACAATTTTGCATCCAGCCAAGGAGCATAATTCTATGAAATACGCATAAAACAATTATATATAATAACAAAATTATCCATATGCAAATATTTTCTTGGAAAACACTTTGAACCCTTTTTTATTCTAGAAAGGTTTTAATGGTCTTTCTTAGAAAATCAACAGTAGTCCTGGCATCTAAATGGTCAATTAATTTACAAAGTTGAAGTAATAGCATTTCTAATTTTAAGAGAGATACATTAAGTAATGTGACATGTGACAGTGCTTCCCATCCCCTGCCCAAGTATTTTAAAGCAAATTTGATGCAAGAGAGATGGTGTGCTTGTTTGTATATGGCTTTTGGCTTCAGTGTACATTGGTCTCATAATTTTTATATTCATATAGAGTACATTATTGATTTGGTATTGAATGAGTTCATGAGTACAGTGTAGTTATTTTCTTTCTACTCCAAGCTGAGAATTCTATCAGATACTGCCAGTGGAGACATTCCTAGAGGAGTTTATAGTTTAGAAGGACAGTTTATGCCCTTATTGAGCGGGCAGCATATTCACAATGAATTAATATAGTGTTTGCATACAAATCCTTCATAACACGACTTCTGATTATCTGTGGCCAACATTATGTCTTTTCTAGTAACAGCTAGAAATTTCTGCATTTTCCTTTTGAAAATTTTGGTTTCTTTGTAACTTCAGTCTCAAATGGTTATAAATGTGGCAAAATCCAGGATTCTCAAACTCTTTTTATTGTTATTTTAGTTAGAGACAGGGTCTTGCTCTGTTGCCCAGGCTAGAATACAGTGATGCGATCATAGCTCACTGCAGCCTCGAACTCCTGGGCTCAAAGGATCCCTGGTTACTGGTAAAACGTCTTTAAGAAATGTATGAATACACCTTCTATATCCCATATTAGTCCTGTATTATATAAAATTAGGACTAATTTTAAAATAGTATTATTAACTTTTTATATATGGTCTGTCTCAGTCATTAAGAAGACTCCCTTTCCCCCTAATTTTTGCAACAGAGATCTGGTCTCTTGTTTTCTGAATATTCTTTTTCATTTCCTCTATATGACATTGTCTGATATGTCTTTGTTGCCTAGTATATGTGAGCGTTTGTTATAAGTAAGTTATATATGTTAACTCAGAACTTTGATAAGTATCCTATGAGGTTGATTCTATTTTTAATCCTCATTTCATGGATGAGGAAAATAAGATCCAGTGAAATTAAATAGTTGAACCCATTTCACACATCTAGTAAGGGGCATCAAATTTGAACTCCCATCTCTTTAACATCAGAATTCTCACTGGTCATTTATCTGCCTTTCTGCCTGCCTCCCCCTTTTTGCTATTATGGAAGTCGTTCTTTGATCTATCACTGCATTTTAATTGCCTGCATTCAGTTATAAATATCAGTGTTATGAATTTTTACAAAGTTGACTTTTCTTCATTTAAATTTCTTTTACAGTGATATATTGCAACATTTTTGGGGGACACAACACAGAGTTTTGTGTAAAGATCAACAATGACTCATTAAAACCCATCCCTAGATTTTAATAGATACTGCAGAACCTATTGGTACTTCACTATAGTTTTATCGTTTTATAAAATTAACATATCCATATTGAAAATCAACTTACAGTTTTATTTTTTCATCTGCTACGATTTGTATTGTTGACCTTTCTCAGGGACACAAAGTGATTTCTCTCTGGATTCCCTTCTCATTTAGACAAGTGTTAAATAAGACTCAATCTAGCATCAGTCTATCGATCCCTTTAATTTAGCATTTCTTTTTTTACTATTTAATGGCTGGCTTATGTTGACTTTTCACCCTTCATGGACTTCTAACTACTTGTTCAAGTTCAACATATGCCAAAAATACTTCTCCTAAATATGTGATCATTTAGATCTATACCACATTTTTTTGTTATTAAGTAACATAATTTAAAAATTCTGTCCAGTATATTTTTTAATTATACCTTTTTATTTTCCAGAAATGTTAAGGTTTTATCATAATACTTTTTACAAACAGAGTGCTCATACGATTGAAGTTTCTTATTCTTCTCTTATACTTTATACCAAATGTGGTCATTTTCTAACTACAGTTACTTAATGGTATCGCTTAAAAAATATTTTGATACAATTTTTGATCACTCCTCAAAATCCAACAATCAAAAACAGCATGTCATACCACATGTGCAGATGTCTCAGTAAGACCAATTTATTCCTTAAGTATTAGGAGGATATTAGAATATTTAGCTCCCGCGAATCACGGACTTCTTTTATAGTTAGATATATGGAGCCATGTATATATTCTCTTTCTACATTCTATTATTTCCATTGTATCCCGTTAAAAATATATCAGGGAAGAAGGAGGGGAAAATAGTTGACAATATTTGTAAAGTTTGTCTCCTTCACCGCCATCCTGAGAAGCATTATGCTTTGAAATTAGTAAAGTTACAGTTGTGTTTCAAATGAATTGAGGGACATGGTTTGGCAACATTAATATCTTTATGACAAAAAGAACATTAGAATATCAGGGCAGAGGGAAGTGAAAGAGGATAAAATAATATAGTTGTTGAATTCACATCTATATATTTTTTAGTCTTTAAAAAGGATAAAGTGGGAGGCATGTACAAGTTAACAAAACCACAGGCCTTATGTTTCTAGAGATGCTCTTCAGACTTTTTAAGAACTTAGCTTCCCTTTAACTAAATTATATTACCAGAAAATTAAGTGAAATGAACATTTATAAGAGTAGATTATCTTAGGCAACCTACTCTTCTACTACCAACCTACTCTTCTACCTTTTAGGTATTTTAACCTAGAGAAAGAAACTTATGGTGAGTTCATGTTCTTTTGAGATCCCTGTAGGTAAATGAGAGACTATAAAACATTCAGTATTTCAAAAGCATAAGAAAGTTACCAGTGCTAATGTAGCTATGTTTAAAAATGCATGATATATTTAACCTATTTTCTCTTTTATATTCTATCATTAAGAAAACTACATAAGCTAATAAATCTAAGAAAGTCTAAATTTTGTAAACTAACCTTAGAGAATTTGAATATTTTAACCCATAGCATAGCATGATATTGCCATGCTTTCATGCTATGTGTGGAATAATATGTACTTGGATTGGCATTCATCATATATGAAAGGACATAGCATATTCCATGGTACATAGTAGGTACTCCAGAATGGTAATGGTGACAATGATGTACTTGTGTTTCCATTTTTCCTTTGATAAAGTTTTCTGGGTTTGGTATTACTATAGATGATTTTGAAACTGTCAGATGAACTTCTACATTTATAAATTTAAAAATGTTTCATATTAGAAAGATTATTTATCCTAGTACTTGTTTTATTTACTTGGATCCATGGACAACCTGAGATGGAGTCTTGCTCTGTTGCCCAGGCTGGAGTGCAGTGGTGCAATGTCGGCTGACTGCAAGCTCCACCTCCTGGGTTCACACCATTCTCCTGCCTCAGCCTCCTGAGTAGCTAGGATGACAGGTGCTTGCCACCACACCTGGCTAATTTTTTGTATTTTTAGTAGAGACGGAGTTTCACGGTGTTAGCCAGGATGGTCTTGATCTCCTGACCTCGTGATCCACCTGCCTCGACTTCCAAAAGTGCTGGGCTTATAGGCGTGAGCCACCACGCCCAGCTGACAGTCTGTTTATTTCTAGTCTCCTATAAATGAAATAAAGAATAGTTAATCTTGGATAATTAGTTTCCTCTTTTTAAAATGATGAAAATACTATTTAAACTAATTTCCAAGCCCATTTTAAAAATTAAAAATGTAAGTTAGTTCGGGGAAGTTTATTTGAGTAATGTGCAGGATACTTAAAATGTATCTGAAAACATCCAAAATCTTACTTTTTCATAATCAGCCTTCCAGCTCCCATCAGAGCTTTGAGCACTTTTGTTTTTATTTAAATTTTTATTTAATATTTTACTTAAATACATTCTACTTTTCTACATCTTATGTCTTATTTATTACTTGATGGCATTGATAATCTTTATTGTGATACAAGTCTAATAATTACAATGAATAATCTGAAATCATATTTACACATTTATATCTTAGAAAATAATTGATTTGGTTTGAAGTCATTCATGTGGTGAATACTTTTATAATTAGGATGTGTTGGGTTTCAGATCATTATTTCAGTCTGTGGGTTCAGGGGATATATTTAATTATTTTTTTTCTTTCTAGAGGGTGTTAATGCCGATAGCATCAGACAAGCCTCAGAACAACTGAACAGCCGGTGGATCGAATTCTGCCAGTTGCTAAGTGAGAGACTTAACTGGCTGGAGTATCAGAACAACATCATCACTTTCTATAATCAGCTACAACAATTGGAGCAGATGACAACTACTGCTGAAAACTGGTTGAAAATCCAACCCACCACCCCATCAGAGCCAACAGCAATTAAAAGTCAGTTAAAAATATGTAAGGTAAGAATCTTTCCTCCTTCCGTTTGGAGAATATTAATAGGTATTTCTTGGCAATTTCCAAGAAGACGATAACAAATTATTTAGTAATGAAACGTTCACCTTTTAAGGATTTAGCTGAGCACAATAAAGTTCAAAATGTAAGCAACAAAAATCAGTTTAAATATGTAAGACATAGATACCCGGATTCTAAAATTGTATTTGGCGTAGTTACACAGAGCTAATTGACTGTGTCGGTTTGCAAAAGCATGAGGTAGATTAGGAGTGTGGAAACCACATGTATCCTATAAAAAATGGCCTCTACTTAAGAACTCTTTCTTTGCGACTAGTGAAACATAGTCGTATGTTGAAAAAATGGAATCCATGGAAATAGTTAGAAACACGGGTCAACAACAAGCTTGGATGCGATGTAATTGGATACATAAGGAAAATATTTAAAACTGATGGACCTCTCAAATTAGGATAATTTGAGGAAAGTTTCTTTACAAAGAGATATTTTTTAAATGTAGCTGGTGTATAGAGGAACCACACGGGATAGTGTAGTAACCCAGCTTCAGAGTTCTTACCTCTTTTAGGCCAGAAAGGATCAGGGAGAGAGAAGTTATAAAAACTCAGAAGGAGAGAGTCAGATCCTCATGGTAAAAGCAGCATGGCCAGCTTAAGGAATCCTCATAGAAATGGAGTCAGAAAAATAAACACCCCACTTCTCTTTTTTCCCTGCCTCCAGAATCTTGTCAGGGCTCTAAACTTAATCGTAAGGCAAAGGACAAGGAACTGTCATCTGTAAATATCAGTCTCCTGGGTTACAGGAGAAGAGTGGACAGTGGATCTGGAGGAGCAAACAAGATACAAGTGGACAAAAGGGTGTGAGAAAGAGATGAAAAGATATTATGCCTTCAAGTGTGAGAAAACAAGAGCTGTATAATAATGAAAATAGCCTAAACTGTTGTCATTGTTACTATGAGCTATGTACTTTTCACGGGGAATGAGAAACTGATTAGAGGATGGACTAAAACATTTCCAGGATGAACCTTTAGTGATAGATGGAGAGGATTACATGTAATACAAAAGACAAGGAATGGAGATTCATTTGCACAATTTAAAAAGAATGGTTTAAATAAAGGTAGAATAGACAGGGAAAAGTGACAAGGTTGATTTAGAAAAGGTATTGGACCCAAAAAGTGATGAGAAATTCAAAGTTATATTGAAGAGAAAAACAATTGAAGGACTTGATGGTTCTTCAAATATTGGACCTATAGCATTACTAGGTTTTCTGTTCTTACGTTAGTTTGCTGAGGAAATAAACTCAGAAAGTATACTTTTGGATAAAGAATACCTTGGATAAGGTACTTGACTTATTAGGCAAATACACACATCTAAGGAATTTCTACATTTAGATACATTTAGATACATTTTGTAATTTAAGAATAGAACCCATGCCATTTTTCCTATGAATCAGAGGAATAATACAAATACATTATTTCTTGCAACAAAAGTCTGATGTTACCTGACCTGATTCTTGAGATTCAGATATCATAGTTAGTAACAGTACCTACACAGTACATTTATGCATTTTATATATACATATATATATATGTCTCTAATGTTTCTAAGAATGCTACTGAGTGTATTAATCAGCTCATGCTGCCACAACAAATACCACAGACTGGGTGGCTTAAACAACACAGGTTTATTTTCTGAGAGTTCTAGAAGCAAGAAAGTCTAGGACCAAGGTTTGGCAGGGTTCAGCTTCATCTTCTGGTAAAGGCTGTGTTTCTGGATTGCAGATGACCAACTTCTCACTCTGTCTTCACATGGCTTTCCTCTGTGTGTATACATGGAGAGAGAGAGAGAAAGAGGGCTATTTTTCTTTCTTTCTTTCTCTTTGCCTCCTTTTATAAAGTCACCAATCCCTAAGGGATTAGGTACCACCCCCCAACCCTGATGACCTCATATAAACATTATTACCTCTTAAAAGTCCTATCACCAAATGCAGTCTCACCGATGGTTAGGACTTCATTCAACATGTGAATTTTGGAAGACACCATTCACCCCATAGCACTAAGTTTTGGGAATATTACAGTGAGCATTACAAGGACCCTGCTTTTAGTGTATTTATGGAAAGCAGAGGAGAGAGATATGAAGCAATGGAATCAATATTTTTAAATTTCCTGCTAGGATCAGTTGTTTAAACAAAGATGCAAAGCTTTGGGAGAATGACTAACACGGAAAAACGAACTGATAGGGCCACCAAGGGCATCTTCCTTGAGAGAGGAGCATTTGAGTTGTGACTTTTGTGATGAGTTGGAATTAGATAAGAGAACTGTGAAGCGAAAGACTCCAGGCAGAAGGAACATGGCGAGAGGGAGCAATAAAGGCCAAGCACCTGAATGAAGACCATTGCAAATGCTGAAGGTAGCGGGGCAGAGGAATGAGAGGAGAGTTGAAGAGGAAAAGGCAGGCATATAGGAGGCAAACCATTGACTTCTGGGACCTGCTAGTATCTTGGTCTTAATTTGAGGAGCAAATGGAGATCACCAGAGGTTTTATATAGTAAATATCGTCTGGAGGTTGAGGAAATCATCCTAAGGGAAAATATTTCTTTTACTGCATCCAGTCACAAAATTCCAAATTCTGTTGTCACCTCTTTATCACCCCTTACTCTTTCTCTCAGACCCATTGGTGCCTGTTAATTTGAAGAATCACTTTAGGTAAAATATTTAGCAAGATAAGCTTAATATTATTCATACAAGGGCAAATATATATACTGTTCTGCTGTGATTAGTGATAGGCAAATAAATTATAACATGTTTCACAGCATTTTCTTTTATTTGGAGTTTCATAACATTAGAGTGCATATTTAGCTCATAGTCTAATGCTTGGCAGAACTGGTTCTTAATATTCTGGAGGTTAGAGAGCCTTATCAGAATTGGAAGAAATTCATGAACCCTTTCCTGAGAAAAATACAAAAGCTTCCATGAGATAAGCATATAATTTTAAAGGATAAACAGATTTCAAGTAGATGCCACACTCTGGAGGACCAACTATACCAAATCCTTTTATGGAGATAATGGCTGATTGTTAACATCTTTTCAAATGCTGAATACTTCAGTTGAAAATTATGTCTTCTATGATTTATTCTCAGCATGTTAAGGTCTCAACTGAACGTTTGCCCAAATGTTTTATTAGTTTCGAAGTCCCTTTTGTTTTTCAGAGCACACTTGGCCATAATGTTGGCTCTTTCTATAGCCACCTGAACAGGAAGAATGGCAGCCCTCTATCTGGACCAATTATAAATTAGGTTCATAGTAGATGCCAATGCTGCCATTTGTAAATCTAGTATACAAAGTATGTGTATATATTTCTGTACTGTAAATACAGAATATTACCCTTTACCTCTTGTCTTATTTCTTATCCATGGATATATACCAACTTTCTAGCACTTGTTTGAGAGGATTTATATTTGAATGAGAAATACAGGCCACCTCCCCATTTTGCTAAACATCTTTAATCTTCACCCATCAAAAAGATTGAATCGTCAGAGATTATTTTACCTGAATCAACTCATACTGTTATAACCACATAAACACATTCCTCTGAAAGCTGTATTTATATTTTTTAACATGAGAATAAGTGGCATTGTGCATTAGTTAGTCTTGCAACCATGACAGAATTTGTGTGATAAATTTCTCAGCCACTCCTAAGACAAAAGTTACTCTCTCTCCAAAAGAGTATAAATGCTTCCATAAATACTTTTTTTTTTTTTTGCCTTTTCACTTTGATTTTCAGGAAGCTCAGATTTAAATTCATTTCAGAATTGCTATAATTCTTTCCATTTTCTCTTCTAATAGGCTCATGTTCCAATTTTTAAATTTCAATTATCCTGTTTTTACATATTAAATAGTAACTAATCTTCAAATATTTTTTTCTAAATATATTTCTTCAAATATATTTTCACCGCATATATATGAATTATAAGTAAGCAGCCATGATAATAACCCTTTTAAAAAGGGCAGTGAAAACTTTCTCAGTTCAAATTATATGTGTATTAAATACAAAAAATTCCAACTTCACTGGAAACAAAAGCATGAAAACATTTATGTAGAGAATAGCATGACCAAAAGAAATACAGTGCTAGCCACGAATTCAAGCCGCATATGTAACTTAAAATGGTCTAGAAACTACATTAGGAAAGGATAAAGAAGCAGTAAATGAATTTCAATAGTACATTTTAGTTAAACTGATTTATCAAACATATTATTTCAAAGTTTAGTCACTATTTTAAAACTTTGAGATTATGTTCTCAGCTTTCTTCAGAATTAAACGTATTTTGTAATTTCAATGCATCTAAATTTGGACCAGCCGCATTTCAGGCGACCCGTAGCCACATGAGCTAGTGACAGCATAGCAGTGTTCATGTGATTTTATCATACAATCCCAGGGTACTATGGAGAACAAAAGAGGGTGCTACTAATAATTATGCCAGGACAACACGAAGAAATGTGGAGAGTCACAGTAATTTAAATAGTGGCAATTGCCCAGGCACGGTGGCTCATACCTGTCATCCCAGCACTTGGGGAGGCCAAGGTGGGCGGATCATGAGGTCAGGAGTTTGAGACCAGCCTGGCCAACATAGTGAAACCGTGTCTCTACTAAAAATACAAAAAAGAGCTGAACATGGTAGCGGATGCCTGTAATCCCAGCTACTCAGAGGCTGAGGCAGGAGAATCACTTGAACCTGGACGGTGGAGGTTGCAATGGGCCAAGATCATGCCATTGCTCTCCAGCCTGGGCAAGGAGAGCAAGACTCTGTCTCAAAAAAAAAAAAAAAAAAAAAAGGGGCGGTTGCCTGTTTGGTCAGGAGAAGTAATGAGACCATACAAAAGATAGAAGATTATAGATATATTTTTATATGTGTGTGTATACATACATACATATAAGTATTATATAGATTATATATATGTTTGTAATCTATATAATTATATCAAAATATATTTATAATTTAGTATAGACATATACATATATAGGTATATATATCTAATTCATATTTTGCACAAATGAAAGAGAAAATATTGTTGAGTGAGCTTAGAATTTGAAGCAAAGGCACATCATTTTGATATAAAAGGGGAGCAGCCAAACACCTATGTTTGATTTATGGAAAGGATTGAAGGTCATGCATAGTACTTTTCCACTGCACACATTCATACCCGTTAATGCTCTACATTATGTCATCTTGAAATTTAAATATCATTATATAGGATGATACGTACTGAACAAAGAGCCAATGTATCCTTAAATGGATGGTCTGTGATAGAGGCTTGCCTACACTGTCATGGATGTTTTTTTATCAGATATTTGTCAAGGGTATTAAGCTAAACTTGCCTTACTGCTTTTTAATACCTTCTTTTACAAAATGTAATGTATGCAAAGTAAAAGTGTTACTTTCCATATTCTGTGGCACAGGATGAAGTCAACAGGCTATCAGCTCTTCAACCTCAAATTGAACGATTAAAAATTCAAAGTATAGCCCTGAAAGAGAAAGGACAAGGACCCATGTTCCTGGATGCAGACTTTGTGGCCTTTACAAATCATTTTAGCCAAGTCTTTTCTGATGTGCAGGCCAGAGAGAAAGAGCTACAGACAAGTAAGTAAAAAGCCTAAAATGACTAACTTGACATTTTCCAAATTGGTTATTTGTGGGGAAATCCGGAAAGTACTAACATGAAACAATGATTGCTGTCAATGGAACCGTTCTCCCTACAACCTATATTAACAAGGAATGAAATACTGGTGTAGCAGATAAGCTGTCTTTAGATTTTTTTTTTTTGTCCTCACAATTTCTGACTTTGAGAAACAAATAAAAGATGTTTTATATGGGCATAGCTTCTCCTTGGTGGATTGTAGATTTCAAAATCAGATGTTTTGAATATAGAAGAAAATAAAAGAGCAGTTGAGGTCATATGAATACACTTTCATTAAGTCTAGCTTCTGTATATACAAGGATATTTGCTAGGCATCTTCTAATACTTTTGTCAGCTTATCTGAAGAGTATTATAGCTTTAGCATACATGTGGCAACTGAAACTAAGCAAAGGACAAATTATTCTTTGGGCTACATTTTACTACTGGATCACTATAATTACATAAATCCTATTTTTTCCTTTGATGATAAAAGATAAAAGTGGAGCAATTATGCAAATTCATACCATGTGACTAGCAAATTTTTCAAGATGTTTCTTTTGTCTCTCACTGAATTGCTTTAATAAGATGATGTTAATACATAGTATTTGCTCCAAAATATCCCTACTCATCAACTTAATTTTAAGACATTCTTTTCAGAGACAGATTCATGACCACCTTTATGAAATAGTATATGGGTTTTTGATTCACTATATACATGCATATATGTGTTCATGTGCACACACAAAAAATTATTGAGTAAAATTGGGTTTGAAGGCATTAAGATAAAAGTATTTTTCTGAAAAAAATCTCTGCCCCAAATTTGTTATGAGAAGCACAGGAACATGTGTTTGTTTTCTACTACAACTTTAATTAGTTGGAGAATACATTATCCTATTGCTTTTCTTTGTAAATATTTAAAGAATTCACCATATAATATCATTTCCAGAATTAATGTGGTGATGCACAAAGCTTTTCTCATTTCCCAGCTTTTCATTTTTATGAAAATGAAATGAACTAAATAAAGCAAAGGATACTTTTTTTTTTTTGTACTTCAAAGTCGTTTTTGCTAAGAGGTTTATTTTCCTGTACAGGTAGTAAAACTTTATAAATAATACCAGCTCCCTCTAGTGGATTTCAGTATACTCGTTGCTGTGCCTCTGTAAAATCAATTTGAGAAAATATTTTAAATGTCCTAGATTTTCAAATATTGACCTATTTAACAATAATGTATTTTCACTTGTCATAAAATACATACCCCCCCCCCTTAAAGTTAAATACACTTAGTGGCTATGCAGTAATTGTTGGGCAAAGGTGTCTTTCCCCTGGAAAATTACTTTATATATACCTCTTAATCATATTAAAGTTCAACTTTTTATAGTTTAAAGATGTTCAGAATAGCAAGGTTTGGTAATTGAGATTTGTCTGTGATGTCACAGTATAAATATGTAATAGTATATCATCTGTGTTCATACAGCTATCTGTCCATCCATCTATCACTACCATCTGTCTTCTCTTTTTTAAATTGCATACCTACACATGATGATTGTTTATAAATCTTCCTAACTTTTTCACTGCATTTATATTTAAATAAATTGTCCCATTTCCACTCTACCAACACATCTTGAATGCTATTATTCACCCTTTTGGAATGCTTGTCTAGATTAATAAATAACCCTTTAATTAAATATGGAATATATATAGTGAATGAAAAATGTAGCATATGAAATTACATAGCAGTTTATTTTGTTAATTTGTAATTATTTCAAATAACTGCACATGTGTAAGCATTGTCCCCAAATTGGCACCAGGGAGTAAATCTCATTTCTTGTATTACTCCACAGTACTTCGGACATATTAAGTATGCAGGAAATAAGAGCTAACGGAAGTGCCTAGGCACCCATAATGACATTTATTTCCTCTTTACTTTTTTAAACTAGCTTTTTCACACAGAAACCTGGCTTTTAAAATATACTTTTAGTGGTGAAAAATGGTATATGGAATTGGTAGTCGTTATCTGACATAAGTGATACGAGAAAATAATATAAAAAGATAAAATTCTTTCTATTTTCAAAGTACTTTTTAGTCTATACATAACTAATTTGTACATCATTTTACCTAACCCTCAGAGAGAAATACATTGAGTATTTGGTTTTTATTACACCTATGTCACAGGTAAGCTAATGGGGTTTGAATAACTGAAAGGATGGATAATGGGATGCTATAAGAACTAGATCACATACATGAATGTTCATAACAACATTATGCATAATAGCCAAAACATAGAATAAACCCAAATGCCCATCCACTGATGAGTATATGAAGAAAACGGGCACATCCATACAAGGCAATGTTACTGAGTAATAAAAAGGGATGAAGTACTGATACACGCTACAGTATGGATTACCCTTGAAGACATTATGCTAAGCGAAAGAAGCCAGTCACAAAAGACCATATGTTATATGATTCTCTTGATATAAAATGACCACAATAAGCAAATCTGTAGAGGCAGAAATAAGATTAGTGGTTGCCTAGGTCTGGGAGGATGAGGGGGTGGAATTGTTTCCCATGACAATTGATAAAATACTTTTCTAGAAACTGAAGACCAGTAAACCCGTGTTATATGCTAGATGAATATAGAAACACAGCATCTAGCCTGTTGTAGATAATTGTTTCAACAAAGATAAAAATGAACACTTATTTCTAAATGTAAATAAGGAAAAATGTGATATAATTTGAGTTTCTTTCATTAGCAATGTGGAAATCATGTCACTATGATTATTAGGGATTTTGTTGGTTTGGTTTAGTTTTGCAAAAATGGAGAAAATGGCAATATTAGTTATGACATAGCCAGTGTTTTGTCTGTTCTAAAGTTTCAAAATGATTCTCTTCTGTTCTACACCATTAGATTTCTTTCAGAACAGTGTCTTGCTCACTTATTCACTAATAAATTCAAGAAATATTTTTGAACACCTGGTATATGCCATAAAAGTGCTGGGCACTAGGTAATATACTTGGTGGAGAAAATCAAGAGCAATATGTCTTCTTGGAGCTTATTGAGAGAAAGATAATAAAATTGAATATCTGAATATTATTACAGAATATAATTACTTTGGGGTCTGAAACTGCGATTCTGGGGAGATGATGTTAGAGCCAAACCTGGAGAATGTGCAGGTGCCACCTGTGTGATAAGTTGGAGAAAGGACATTAGGAGAAATGAAAAGAAACACAAATAACCAAAGGTGAAAAATGAAGGCTTGGTATGTCCAAAAGACATAAGGGAGGCCAGAAGGGCTGGAACGTAAAAAATCAAGGAAAGATTAGGACAAGATGAGGGTAGAATGGCTCAAGGCCCCCAAAAACTTCTATAAGAGGTTTGGATTTTAAGAGCAGTTGACATTTCCAAAAGAATTTCAATTGAGGAAATTAAGTAACCTTATTTGTATTTTTGAAAAACCCTCTAGCTGGTATGTAAGGGAGAAATGGAATACAAGTCTGAGGAGAAGCAGGAAGACTTGTTGAAAGAATAGCCACACAGAGGAGAGTCCATTGAACCTTAAACTACAGTTGTGATAAGATTAAGGAAAACCAGTTCAAACCTTGAAGATGTGACGATCTGGGGAGATGTAGTGGGGAAGATATTCTTGCCAGAATTGAAAGAAAATAACTTTTACCTCTTACAGAGACAGTAGAAGAAAATTTTAGGGTAGGCAGCAAGGATGCTCTCCATGGCCATAATTTCAAGCTCTGTGGTTTGTCTCTACCCCTCCCTGTTAGGACGCTGAGACTGGGAATTAAAACAAAGATTGATGTGAACTAACTTTTCTAGCTGCAGGTCAGGAAATTGACCTCATTTACTTTATTAAAATTTAAATTTTTTTATTTTAAAATTTTATTTTTAATACATCTAGGCAAAGGAATCTTTTGTTCCAGTAGACACATACTCTGTTGCATTGCTCCTTCACTCCAGAAAACAGATAAACTGTAAATGTTCCTTTTAAAATTGTGTTATTTTTATCAATACCATCAAGAGCAAGAATAGCAGACATATTTATTTATTTATTTTTTCTTATTTATTTATTTATTATTATTATTATACTTTAAGTTCTAGGGTACATGTGCATAACGTGCAGGTTTGTTACATATGTATACTTGTGCCATGTTGGTGTGCTGCACCCATCAACTCGTCAGCACCCATCAACTCGTCATTTACATCAGGTATAACTCCCAATGCAATCCCTCCCCCCTCCCCCCTCCCCATGATAGGCCCCGGTGTGTGATGTTCCCCTTCCCGAGTCCAAGTGATCTCATTGTTCAGTTCCCACCTATGAGTGAGAACATGCGGTGTTTGGTTTACTGTTCTTGTGATAGTTTGCTAAGGATGCAGCTGGAAACCATCATTCTTAGCAAACTATCACAAGACATATTTATTTAAGCAAGCTATGTGCTTATTGTGAGATAGAAGAATTGTTCACTGACCTCAAGAATCATGGGAAAACTCGCTAAATGCCAAGTTAAAGCTATACATATATATATGTATATACGTATATATATACATAGTGTGTGTGTGTATACGTATGCATATATACACACACACACACATATATATATACACACACACACACACACACAAATTATGTGACAGGAACCTCATACTGTTTTCCAAAATGGCTGTACTAATTTACATTCCCACCAACAGTGTACAAGTATTCTTTTCTCTACAGCCTCTCCAACATTTATGTTTCATCATTTTAAAAGTGGCTGTTTTAATTTTAACATATATAAGGTAACACATCATTGTGATTTTTAGATTTTTCTGATGTTTAGAGATGTTGAGCATTTTTTCACATATCTGTTGGCCATTGTTACCTCTTATTTCAAGAAATGTCTGTTCATATCCCTTGCCCGTTTTTTAATCAGGTTATTTGTTTTCTTGCTGTTGAGTTCTCTGAGTTTTCTATATATT